ATATGAAAATTAATTTAATATTAATTATATATAAAATTTAATCAATCCTTGTATTATAATAAATGACAATTTTTTTGTAAATCACAGTTGAAAGTCCTGAGAATAAGACAGACATGAATTTGTTAGAATTTCTTGAAAGTGATATGAGACACAAGATTATATACAGTATTGTTCTTCCAACTCTCGATAGCTCTTACGAATTTAGATCCTACAAGGTAATTACAGTAAAATTAAATGAACAATAATTATAAAAAAATATAATCATACATATTATGCAGATTATGCCAAGAGCTCAAAATGCCCATGCCCATATAAACGCTGGCTTCTTATTTAAATTGGATGGAAATGGAAAAGTTTTAGAAAAACCCAACATACTAATCGGTGGAATTCGACCAGAGTTTGTAAGTAATTTTGGACAAAATTAAATGGTGATATTTTTGAGAAATCTTAAATATGATATTGTTTTTTTCAGATGCATGCAACAAATACTCAAGAATTTCTGCTTAATAAATCTATATTCGATAAGAACGTTATCAAATCCGCTATCGATGTATTGGACAAAGAATTAAATCCTGATCACGTTCTGCCTGATTATTCTCCTGAATTTAGAAAAACATTGGCTGAAGGATTATTTTACAAGGTATTATTAATAATATTACCGTGAAAAGAGAATTTTTAATCTAAAAAATTTAAAATTTGTTATACTAAATAGTTTTATTTTAAACAATAAATATAAATAAAATCTAATTTCAGTTTATATTAAGTATAAGACCAGAAAACATTGATTCTAAACTTCGAAGCGGTGGAACAATTTTAGAACGTGAATTATCATCTGCTAAACAAGATTTTGATACGGATAAAAATATATGGCCATTGAACAAGCCTATTGTTAAAAGGGAATCTATTTATCAGACCTCAGGAGAGGGACAATACGTCAATGATATAATGCCTTTAAAAGACGAGGTTTTCTGTGCTTTCGTTTTAACTGAAGTGGCTAATGGTAAAATTGAAAATATTGATGCTTCAAAAGCTTTGGTATGTTACGATTAAGAGATAATCATTGAAGATAGTTCAATTACTTAATCGGTGGTATTTATAGGAAATGAAAGGGGTTGTGGCTTTTTATTCAGCAAAAGATATTCCTGGGAAAAATGCATTCATCTTAGCTTCTAGTAATTTGCAGATGCTCAATGAAGATGAACTGGTAGAGTAGATTATTTTACTATCTTTTGATTTAATTGAATCGTTATTTTTTTAAAGAATGGCTTAATATAGATATTTCTCTCTCTCTCTCTCTCTCTCTCTCTCTCTTCCTCTTTTTCTTTACGTTCTCTATAGTATGTATCATATTAAATAACAAACAAATAACCTATATACATCAAATTATTGTCCTTAGCTATTCGCAGAAGATAAAATTTCGTTCGCTGGACAACCAGTTGGAATAATAGTTGCAACTACTCATGCTCTTGCAAACGAAGCTGTAAAAAAAGTAAAAATAACGTACACTGATGCATTGAAAACGAAACCAATAATAACTATTGACGATGCTTTAGCTTCTAATGATAAAACCAGGATTTTCCAAACTGTAAATGTTACTGCCAAAGATAAAGGTAAATGAATCAATTCATTTATTTTAATTTACAATAAATATCATAGATACTTTAACTTAAACAATTTATAGGTAAAAATACGAAACGCGTTATCAAAGGATCCTTTTCTCTTGGTCCTCAATATCATTACACTATGGAAACTCAATCTTGCGTTTGCATTCCGACTGAAGATGGTATGGATGTTTTCGCAGCAACTCAATGGATGGATCTTACTCAAGTTTCAATTGCTGTTTGTCTAGGAGTTCAAAATAATAGGTATGGGACTTAAATAACATAAATATATCTTCTGGTTGCAAGATTTTTACTTAATAATTCTAATCTTTGTTGCTATCAATTAGTTGATATCAGTCAATGAAATACTGTCATTTATTGATTACCATCGATTAATATCACCCTTATAAAATAAATATTATTAAGTTTTATTTCTTAGCATCAACATTAGTGTAAGACGTTTGGGTGGTGCGTACGGAGCAAAAATTTCACGAGCTACTCAAATAGCTTGTGCATGTGCTCTTGCATCTCACAAACTTAATCGACCAGCAAGATTCATTATGTCGATCGAAAGTAATATGATGAGCATAGGCAAGAGAGTTCCAACCAAACAGGATTACGAAGTCGGCGTGAACAATAAAGGACGTATTCAATATTTAAATTCTAATCAATGGAGCAATCTAGGCTGTTCTTTTAATGAAGTGCATGCACCAATTGTAATGCATCATATGGAAAGGTATATTATAGTATTCATACGATATGATATATAATATACGTATTTGAAAAAATTATTTTATTAAATGAATACAAAATTATTTATACTATATATGTTTAATTAAAAAACAATTATCTAATAAATTTCTAATAATTCTAATAATAAATATGCATATATAATAATTCTCCAATAATTTATCAAGATCTATCTTTTAATTTACAGCTGTTATGATGCTACTAGATGGACTTGCAATGGTTACGAAGTTAAAACGGATGTTCCATCCAACACTTACGCTAGAGCACCAGGTATGGTAAATTAAAATGATTTTTTATAATTATATGATATGTAATAAGTATTATATTTGCGCCAGGATCTACGGAAGCAATAGCTTTAATAGAAAACATAATGGAACATATAGCTGCAGAATTAGACAAAGATCCTATAGAAGTCAAATTGATTAACATGAATGCAGAGGATAAAGCTGTGTTAGAACCAATGATAGCAGATTTGAAAAATTCTGCTGATTACGATTCGAGGAAGAGAGCAGTCGAAATATTTAATAATGTAAAAAATAAAGATTTTTATTTAAGGATATATGTATAGATTATTATATATGTGTTATTTTATTTTATGGTATACGTTTTGAAGGAAAATCGTTGGAAAAAGAAAGGAATGGCATTGGTACCAATGAAGTATCCTCTCATGTATTGGGGACAGTTTAATGCTATGGTTAGCATTTATGCACGTGATGGAACTGTCTCTGTATCCCATGGTGGAACTGAATGCGGACAGGGTATACACACGAAAGTAACTAAATATTTTTAAATTAAAGCAAAAATAATAATTTTACCATTTAGCTAATTAAACTGATTTGAATTTTTGCTACTTTTTTGTAACTATTAGATCTCTCAAGTAGCAGCATATATTCTCGGTATTGATTTAGATCTTGTAAAAGTGAGACCCAGTGATAATTTCACTGCTCCTAATAATTCTGTCACAGGTGGAAGTATTACAAGTGAATCTTGTGCATACGTGAGTATTTTTTTTTCTTGTTGTATTTTCTTGAAATTTATAAGATAATTTGAACTAGGAGTATATTAAATATCTTTAATTTTAGGCAACTATGATGGCCTGCAAAGAACTTCTAGCAAGATTAGAGCCTATTAAGCAAGAATTAAAAAATCCTACTTGGCAGGAATTAGTTATGGCAGCACATATGAAGGACGTTGATCTATGTGCTCGTTACATGTACTTAAATATAAGATAAAATTTTTTGTTTTATTTCTTTGGGAAACTTATTTGTTTATCTGACAAAAAAAAACAATAATTCAATATATTCATATTATTCTTAGGTTTACAGCTAAAGATGCAACACCTTACAGAATTTATGGAGTAACTATTGCAGAGGTTGAAATTGACGTACTTACAGGACAACATCTTATACAAAGAGTTGATCTGTTAGAAGATACTGGTGTCAGTCTTAATCCTGAGATTGATTTAGGTCAAATAGAAGGTGCTTTCATCATGGGAATTGGATATTGGACTTCTGAAGATTTGATTTATGATCCTAAAACTGGCGCATTAACGAATTATAGAACTTGGGTATATGTCTACAAAATTTTAACTGTACCTGAGAAAATATCTAATTTTGTATACTAATGACGCTTGTGTTTCTGTTTCTGTCTCGATTTAGAATTACAAACCTCCTGGAGCTAAAGATATTCCGGTTGATTTTAGAGTTACATTTAGAAGGAATACACCGAATCGATTAGGTGTATTACGATCTAAAGGTAAATAAAATTGATAACTATAATAATAATGTATATGTATGTCTGACTGATTTTAAATAAATTATGTTACAGCAACTGGCGAGCCTCCATTGTGTATGAGTTGCGTAATTCCTTTTGCTATTCGGCAAGCTTTAAATTCAGCAAGATCAGAAACTGGAAAATCTGGCTGGTATCCGCTAGGTAAAAATTATTTATATATATTTATAATTAGTTTTAATTAATTACTTTAATTTTAATATATAGTAATCCTACTTATATTTTTTTAGATGGTCCTGTGACAACAGAAAAGATTCTTCTAACAAGTTTAACTAATAAAGAACAAATGGTCCTGTAAGTTTAATTATAGTAATGATACATAAAAGTAAAGTAGTATCTTTAAACATAGAGATTAGATGTGCAATAAAATAATATTTTCATTTGTATACATGTGTTTATAACAAGCTAAAGTACTAAAGTGAAACAATAAAGTTTAGAACAAAGTATATGTATTCAATAATATTTTGTACAAAACAAAAAAGAATAAATATATAACTTTGGTTTTTTGTTGGACTTAATTTGATCAAGATTTTATATTAACGTATATTAACTATTAATTAAATGAAATCTTTTTACGGGTGTAAGATAATAAATATTTTATTTCTGTACAATTTAGAAAGAAGGTAACTACGTCATATGTAACTTATAGCAATAAATTATTTCACTTATTAACCTTTTTATTCTAAGTACCTAAGTAGTTTTTTGTTGACCAATCCTCCATGCATCTTTGATAGATTTTCCGATACCAGGTCCATTGTAAATTAGTACAAGAAGCCCAGCAAGTGTTACAATCGACAAAAGATTTAACAAAAGATGGAATACCTTAGGAAGAAGCGGTCCAACAATAATAGGCCTTGCATAATCAACAACCAAAGCTTCCAAACCCCTATTTATATGAATATAATGATTAATCATTTTTTAAATAGACATGCATTTGACCAATACAAAGTACGTACCAATGCATATGCATTACAACTAAAACAGCAGTTATAACATCGATAGCTGGATTTTCCAATAATAAAGAAGCTGGTAGTAAAACTGGCATCGCAGCAGAAACTAATTTCTCTGCGACCCATAAACGTACATGACTGCCTGATGTACTAGCAAAGCGAGATTGATTTCCACTTAAGGTTAATGACATAGGTAACTGTTAACAAAATGAAAAACGATTTCTAAAATATAGTTTGTCAAGTTATTTTCAAAGAATGCGTCTCAAAAATACATATCATAAATATATAGACCTTTGTCAATAATTGATGATTTTCATTATTAGCTATTTTAGTATTGGTAAGATTCAAATTTGTAAATGATGAAGAAAGTTTGGTTGTTTGTGAAAATTTCCCATAGTGCGATAACATACAACTAGGTTTTGTAATAGATTCTGAAATAAAAAAAACATGTTTATTCAACATTTTTCTCAAAAGTATTACCAATATTATATATTATTACAGTATGGCAATACATTAGAGAAGAACTATAGTGAGGTTAAACAGATGATAACGATTACATAAATGTTTTTTGTTCAAGTAATATTTTAATATGCAAAGAGAATATGAAAATAAAAACAAAAAACTTACCAAATTGTTTGATGTTACGCAAAACATATTGATTTGCTATTCTTTGTAAAATCATCTTATTAGAATTCCAAAGTAACGTTGATCTTGAAAATATTTAATTACGATTATTAATATGTATATGCCACACAAATTCTTAATTAATTTTTTCTCACTATTTTATTGGTTAAGTTTAGAAACGTCTAATCCGAAGTGATCCTAATTTACAAATGTAGATTCTAAATAGAAAAGTGACTAGAGAAACAAGGATAGTAACGATATATATGTACTTCTTATTCTGATGTGTTATGTGAATGTATGAAACGCACACCACTAAATATAATCGTATTTACAGAGTTGATTTATATAATCGAAAAGATCTAATCTCGATTATGAAGATCGATCTAAATAAATTAAATAATCATCATAAATTTATTTATAAATGTCATCAAATTCTATTTAATTTATGTAAAATAAATATATATTAAAATTTTATTTAAAAAAAAAATATATTATCTGATATTTTAAAAGGTATTTTTTGATTGGTACATTTTAAGGAATCAAAATATGAATGCAATTTGAAAATGTTATATAGAATTTAAAATAATTATTTCATAATAAAATTGTATAAATTAGATGTAACTATTTCATAACTGCATAAACAAACTTTATTATTTATTTATATAATCAAAAATATAACAAAATATTAACGTTTTATAATATAAAATAATCTTTAAAAAATATTATTACACAATTGAGATATATATTCATCATATATTATTTCATCATATATTCATATATATTATATCAGATATATTCATCATATATTCTTGGTGTATTGATTTTTAAATAATTTAATTAATGTAAGTTTTAACAACATTTTCAACAAATGTTGCCAGATCGACATCCTTCTGCGATAATCCATTAACATCATGCGTAGACAAAGTCATGTTTACTTTATTATAAACATTAAACCATTCAGGATGATGATTCATCTTTTCTGATTGTAAGGCTACTCGTGACATAAATCCAAAAGCCTGTAAAAAAAACATAAATATAGCAATCAGAACAATGGCAATACAATTGTTTATAATTAACAAGGAGATGATTTACTTCGTTGAAATTTTTAAATACAAATTCTTTATAAATAGCATCTCGCTCTGCTTGGACAGTCCATCCACTTTTTAACAATGGACTCAGGAGTGAATCCCTCTCTTCTTGGGTAAGTTTCTTCTAGAATCATAATATATTAACACCGTTATACATTTGTTGTTAACAAAAGTGAATAAATACAATTTATTGAATATGCATATATAATTTATAAGGTAAAGATATTAAAACTAAGTAGACATTTATATTATCGATGAGATACCATTTCATTTTATCATAATATATATTATCAATTTTAATATATTATTATTTACATATTGATTAGATCTATTTATTAAATCAATATTTTATTTATATTTTTCTTATTGTTATAGAAAGAAATATGATGATACAAAATTCATTTTCTTAAAATGTTCTTTTACATAGACATTGTAGATTTTTTACAATTCACAAATAAACAGATAATCGGAGTAACAATAAGTGGTTGAATATATTGATTTCTTTAAGTAAAACAGTATCTTGATTTTTATAATATTTATTACTTTATTTATATTCAAATTTGTTTGATACATAATAAATACTGCTTGTGCTAAATAAACTCACCATTTTTCGTCTCTTGGAACTAACAGCTGTGGATAATTGTTTTTGACCAAGGTTGTGACATATACCGTTATATTGGTCAAATCCCCTTCTACTGATAAATCTTCTAGTCAATATTGTTAGCAGCATCTCAGTTATGGACCATACGTATTCCTTACCAGCTTTGTTTTCAGGAGAGAGAAAGAGAGAAAGAAAATGTCTAGTAATATTGAAAGCGGGAAAACAATATGATTTAAATTCTTTATTTACAATATTATATAAATATCTAATGAAGAGATTATTTTACTAGGAAATTATTGAATTTCAATACATTATGGTGTATTTTTTGTTTATATACTACATGCATTATGTAGTATTTATATTATATTCTATTTTATATTATATTATTATTCTATTTTACTATCGTGTTATTTACTTTTTTTTTATAAAATAAATGAAAAAAATTAAATATTATTGTGTGGTAGAGAATATATAATTGATCAATCATTGTTATTATTTATAATAATTTAATCATAATAATGTACCCACGGAGCCTAGATTAGGGATCCTGTAGGAGGGATGCGCCATACATATCCAACTCATGTGCCATTGGCTGAAAATTTTTGGGGACCGCTTCCGATCCAACGCGCAGCCATGTTTATCTGTAGTATGTATTAACGGCTGTGGTTAGTTTAATTTACTCATTTAATAGTTACAAGTATAAATGTACAAACCTAACCTATAACTTATCGTTTGTTTACAGACTTATTGTTTGTCATTCAATTCGAGTAAAACTATGACCATGTACCACATTGAGAAATAAAAATATGTTAAAATAAATCTATTATTTAATTGTTTTATATATTTGTTTATTATTATTATTATTGTTATTATTAACACATTGCGTACGGGTCACGAGATATCTCGTTTTCATGATTTAATTAATGATGGAATCAAAATTTGATTTTCTTATTACTAACGTAATAAGAAAACACCA